TTTCTGTCAATTTAATTATAAAGTTATGATGTAGAGGGCGTATTTTGACATGTATTTTTAGTTTTGATACTCTATTTGAACAGATGTTCATTTCTCATCAAATAACAGTATTATGTAATGTTAGTGAGAAAATCTTCCATGGACCTTATTTTAGTTTAATACCTAACCACTGGTATTCATCAATTAATGAGGCCTTTATCTAAGAAAGGTTATTTTTCTACACTAATTTTTCTGGCATCATTATTTTTCCACGAATGTGCACATCTAATACTTTGTTGGTAAATCCCTACCCTTACTAATCTGACTCTAAGAGTATTTGATACTGGCAATCTCTATACTTTAATTTAGTAGCTGTACAGGAAATGCCACTATTCAGATATTTGAATACATATATTTTTTTAATTTCACTAAACATTTCATGTAAATGTTCCTCTCTAAGGTTCGTAAACCTAGGGTCACAGTACAAGTATACTCATATTTGCTGTCTAAACTTCATAAAGATGATTCTTCTTAAATATGATTTTTGAGATAACTAATTTATTTTATAGTTGAACTTTAGATAACAATAACTATCTGTCAATATTGACTGAGGTCCTATTGACAGTAAGATCACATATTTCTGACTTGTCCATCTTGTTTATGTTAGGACTGACTGAAAAAGTGTAGACATTTTTACATTTATGTTTGAGAAATGTTAATATCTTCATTAAATAAAAGTGATTGTTAATCTTATTTATTGTTTTGGTTTCTTTATGTACCTGATGCATATTTACTCCTGGGGGAATTATTGGGAAACATGTATGTGTATTTAAATTTTATAAAAATTATGATTTTTGTTACTTCAAAGAAGTCACAGAAAACATTTTTGTAATGCAATACCTTGCCAAAGCCTTCTGTGGGGAAAGTCTGATTTCCCCATGTAGTACATACTGTACATGAAACCGCCGCTTCAGTTGCCCAATCCTTTTTTCCACACAGTTTCTAGTTTTCTTTATTGGATCTGAAAATTTGCAATAATAAATACAACTGGAATCACTGGATCATCATATAAAAACATGGGCGGTATGACATCAACGTATGGAGATATGATGATGCACATAATTTGTCCACACGTATTGTTTGATAAGTCACCTAAGATGCATTTACGACAAAAGAAGTAGACAGTGTACGACACGTTACCCGAGTTATGCATTTAGCAAAGATATGTAACTCTTCCATTTCGTTTTTATGTTGGAGATTGTATTTCACATAGCCAAGGGAAATCACTCTTGTGGTTAGTACTCGAAGCTGACTCGAAGAAATAATAATATAATACCTGTTGTACTTTGTCTGTGGTCAAGGGTGGGGACGCAAAAATGGTGTTACAATCCACCTCCGACATGGGTAGCCGCTGTCGCCAAGCAGATGACAACTTACGGGTAACTGGTTCCCCTCAAACATCCGACATAACCCGCTTGTTGTCAAGATACGGGAGTCGTGTGTTGAACCAGGCCAACGTGCTACCATGATCCGGTCGTCGCTGTCAATCACTATCTGTGTATTAATACTGTGGTAGTGATGCTTGTTAATGAATTCATTCTCATTAACCGATGGGGCCTGAATTTGAATGTGAGTGCCATCAATTACACCTACTACACCTGGGAAGTTGGCAGTGTGATAAAATCGACGCTGGCGTCGTCTTATTTCTGGGGCTTGCGTGGGAAAGGTGGCAAAACTACGGACCATGCGTTGACTTGTGAGCGATTCGAGCGTTTGTAGGATGACTCTTGAGGTGGTGGGTTGGCTAAGTAGCACATCTGAAATGTGCCTGTTGCAAGGTACCTCAAAGTAACGAGCACTTTGGTAACGCAAGACACGGCACAACTCCGATGTGTTACGGGACTTACTTGTAGTTCGTGTTCGAGTAAATCACAAATGTAAACAATACTGTTTCTGTCAAATCTGTATGTAATGTATGCAGAACGTCTCTTCTTTCATTAAATACTCTTGGAATACGTGTGGCAGCCATTTTGTTTCACATGACTTAAGTCAAAACGAGTATTAATAGTTAAGTAAAAAAATGACAAAACTTAAGTCTAAGTCTGTTTATAAATATGACTTGAGTTTTACCACAAAACTGAAGTCGAAAAAACTAAGTTTTTTAACAGACTTCAGTTTTTTAATGACTTAAGTTGTTTGATAAATACGGCCCATGATCAAGAAGACAGAACACCAAAATGGAGAAAACGTGGTGCAGTTCTAGCAACCGAATTGTGTGTGATTTTTCACAATCAGGAATGATTTAGCTTTGATTTTAGGCCGGTTGACATCAATTACCAGTGCGTGATTACCGCACAGGGGCCCTTTTAAGGTGCAACATTTCATTTCAGTTGCAGTAATAGTTTAACCGATAACTGGATCGTTTAATTCAATAACTTTGATTTGGAATGACCGATTGTCATAAAATAAGAAGTTATGGAATGCATAGATAATGATTTATAACTGTGGACAATAATAATTATATATGTAGTTGCAAAAATATTTTGATAAGGTCAACGATCTACTATCAGTACTCTACAAATATAATTTACATGTACACATAGAAAAATATATTAAAGAAGGTGTATTCCCTCCAAAGTACGAACGGCGAAAAATTGTAAATACATCTGTACATAGCTATGAAGAACACAGATGGGTTATGCAAACCTCAATTAATACAAACATGACGCTTTATGCACGGGTCAATTGCAAGTTAAACTATCATATCCTCTGGCAATTGGCATACTTACATCCCAAATATAAATCTGCCCTCCAAATATGTATTAAAATCTCATCACGTGGCAAAATATCTAAAGAATGTAACCTGTGTAAAAATATACTTATCATTATGATTTTCATATACTCCTACATTATGAACAACTTCACACTGAGAGAAACGATTTTGTTTGTTTATGATTGACATTCTTGATGTGGAAACCCATGTTGCCTTTGAATCACAGGATGAACTCGATATGCTCTCTTTTCCATTTAAAGGTGAAAGTGTTTCTTTATACGTTTACCGAATAAGACGACATCTCCTACAATGTTACACTGATTGATCTCTGCAGATTTATAATGATGTATGTCCACTTTCGGAAGTTTCTTGTATAAATTAATTGTATACACATGTAGATGTATGTTCTTATGTAAATTGTAGGTTTAGGTAATCATCTTGATTAAAATAATTGCATATACATCTATATCAATTTGGTAACTTTGCCCCCTCTCTTGTATTTACATGTATATAATAAGTTTGATCTTCGTAATTTTACCACAAATATGGTTTTCTAGATTCATCATATATCATTTGAAGATCATTGCATATACATCAACTGACATTCACATTTCAAAACTGCCATGTACATATGTCTTTCCGTACAACTGCCCAATTTCGAATTTATGATTTTGTCTAGTTTTCAATTACATGTATTTGCGTTTACAGCACACGGAAAAATCACCTGAACTCACCATATTGGAGTTAACAAGGAGCAAGTTTAGCATTATTTGCTATGATGTAACCTGCATCAGTATTTAATTAAGGTAAACAGTAAAATAATCATGTGAAAATAATGATGATTAAACTGAGTACCAGCTGCAACCAATAAACACTTTCTCTGCGTGTGGAAAACATATTTAAAGTCGTGGTTGAGACCAGGAGCATCACTTCCATGCTTGCTGTAGATCTTTTTGCGACATCTCATCAACGAACATGAAGCTGTTTCTCCTGATGGTTCTTGGTATGTATACTTACACTTCTGTTTACATCAACACAGTATAATGCCGAGACTTTAAGAATTGGTACAATGTACATTTGCTTTGATGTGTTCATGATGTAGTATGTCATGATAGATAAAGGTAACAGGGTTCTGAAAGATTTAGACACTTAATTAAACATTGAGTTCAAAGTCAAATCTACACAGACCACCCACCATTAATCATGATACCGCTGCAAATGCCCTACAGATTGACAATCTCTCTTCATACTAACATAGTGAGATACCATGCCGCAGCGCAAAAAGGATATCCTAATCGGACACATTGTACGGACTCCAATGCATCCCGTCCTAGGTGTATAACCTAAATGCCGATCGCCAGGCAAAGCAAAACCACACACCATATCTTGTGATATACTCTTTACATGTTTCGTCTTGGCCAGATATGTAACATACTGCTACTTCCTTTGAGCTTCATCCTCTGTTCGTTGCTTAACATAACTAATTTCACAACCTCAATGTGAGAAGACATTGAAAACTTTTATCTTTTGTTGCAATATATCAAGTCATTTAAAGAAATATGTAGACCCGAAGCTCCATATACAAGTATTATTCGATGCGATTCAATTATCTGAATGTAGAAGCCTAAGCATCTATATTAATGATAAAAGTACTGGACCTAAGGCTAATCATTGCTTACACTCGGACAGATACTATTGTGTGTTTTGGGTGTGATCGTACTGGCTACAGTGTTACACAGATGCGTAGATAGGATATTAGAGTTGAATTTTAGGCTTACTTTGTTCTTTTTCAGCCGCTCTCTTGACTGCAGAATGTGTTGTTGCAGAGAGGCAAATAATCAAGTTGGACCCTACCAGTAAGTCGAAGACAAAACCAATAAGTTAACCGAGAATCTGGATGTACAATCCGCAATTGCATAAACATAAGGAAGTTTACAAAGCACGACATCTCACTACAAAGGGATTACAATAGCAGCTCAAAATGGGGTAGTTGTACAAGTTCAGAGGCAGTACAAATACAATATTGTGGACAGCAAAGAAAGACAGTTATGATATTAACCTCGCGGCTACAGTTGTCAAGTTCATGTTTTGTATTGTTTTGCCATACTGACTTCAGGTACAAAGAAATAGAGAGTGTCAATTTGCACTAAAAACATGTTTTCGGACGGGATCTGAGTGTCGGAATTCGGGATAGAGAGGTCCGATGAGAGGGAGTTTCTTATATGATATTATATAGGGACAAATTCGGAACCAACTATATATGTCGGTTTTCTGGGAATGTCGGATAGAGAGATGTCGGTTTAGAAGGAGTCCACTGTACTTCTAAGATAGTCACAATGGCATGCTTTCTTCCTTTGTCAAATTCCTACTAGATCAAAATTCTATACATTCAGAATCAAATGACAGTGTTATAGAACACTTTGTAAACCTATTTTAATCGCTCTTAGTATCAGTAATTTGTCCATTGTATATCAAAACTGAATTGGTCTTGAAAATGAATTGTGATTATGTCAAGTTAAAGTATTTGACATGTATGTGGAATATTTTGTATATTTCATATAATGTTATTGTTATAGTGGAATGATATGCAACCATGAAATGGATTTTTCCAATTGTCTAATAAATTACATTTTGCTTCTGTTTTCCTTTGCAAAAACAGTCTATGCAAGAGCACGGTTCACAAGATCCATACCAGATCGTCGTCGTTGGTCTGGTTTCGTAGGCAGTCTGAAAAGGCGAAGTGTATCACGTTCTGGCACGGAATGGTGAGATGGAGAGGAACACGTGCGCTAAGATTCTAATGTGCATCAAAACAAAATGAGCAATAAATCATTTTTGTTCTGCAACACCTGTTCTGATACATATTTTACTTGTCAGTTTCCTACATTATATGCAAGTTTACTTCAATTCTGTAGTCAAAAGAATCGCTGTGAAACCAATGAGGACAAAGAAATGTTATACAATTAACAATTGCATTATAAAATAAACTGAGTTTACAAATCAATCCGAACTGCCACAAATCAATAACAAAAGCATTAGAACACGGTGAGGTGAGGTGAGGTGAAATGGGGTTAAGAATATTTCGCTCATATAACGACATGCATGTGTGTGTGTTTGTGTGGTCGCTTTTACTCGCCCAGACTTCAGCTGGTTCGATTGTGCTATCTCACTGAGATGCCATGCTGCACTTAAGCATGAATATCCCACTCAAACACGTCAAACTGACTCCGAGCCGACCGGTCCTTGTTATACCCATTAATGCCGAGAGCCAAGCAGGGACAAACACATACCATATTTTAACATCTTTTGGAATGACAGCGCCGGGGATCGAACCTGCGACCTTCCGCTCTCCGAGTGGACGTTCTAACCACTACACCACGCAGGCAGTCTATTACAACAAGGAGCATCAGTACAAATTCAGTGTGAGAAAACTCCAATGGCTGTCTGGCATACTGTAGCATTAAATATTTAATTAATTGTGGTCTATGAAAGTGATTGCATTAGCTTTTGTTCTGTTTTCACAGACTCCTGAACGAGGCTTCATTTACTCAGAGCTTCTATTCTGTAATGGATAACAACTTCCTCTTTATTGCATAGAAAGACGCTACGTGTGTTAACCATCAAGTTGTACATGCTTCATTATTGACTCACCAACTGCTGGAAAGAGACGATAAGCTTTATGCTGTAGGCGGTAAAACCCCGAAGTGTCGATGCGGCACGCAATGACAGCTGGTTTATATACACGCGCATCTCCATTTTTCCATTCTTGATTCGGACGGACGGTGGTACATATTTACAGCGTACGCATGTGTAAAACATATTCGCTGAAGTATACAAAACAGATTACAAGTATTTGAAAGAGTAAATATGTCTCGCTCGGCACTCACTAGATTCAGGTAGGGCCAACACAAAGATTGACTATGTTTTAATGCTAAGAACCCATTCCGTATACAACATAACAGGTTACAAACTGAAAAAGTGACATTGGATACTGTATACGTTTGGTAATAGAAACGAAATAATGAAATTTGCATTAAAAAGATGTCGCTAATGTGGGTGTCGCAAAGTATACTCCCCATCAAAAGTTTAGACTCACTAGTGTAAATGTAGCCACTTACTTCAGTCAACTGTTCTGGGCCTCCTTTCACAAAGCACTAAGGTGATCGTAAGTCACTAAGGTAACCTTAGTGCAATGTTAAAGAATAGGAGTTAAGGTTAACCTTAGTAAAGGTTGCTTCGTGAAAGGAGCCCCTGAACTAGACTTTGTAAAATAATCCATACAGTTTAAAGGTACTGTTTATACATGAGCTGGTGTATTGTAAAACAAATTCGTGACGTTTAAAGGTTTATTGTCAAGTGTTCAATAAATGATGACTCGGTGAAAAATGGCGATTTTTTATCAAAACTTTACACCAAAACGAAGCTCTTCACATGCACGATATATGCACATGCTTTTCAGCAATTTGATGCATGGTCCTCGTGCAATTAATCTGCATAAGGTTTGCATATGTTTCCCCAAAGTTAGTGGAGTAATTCATCTTCGTTGTAACCATAATACATTACTTATAGTGATTGATTTAAGCGACTCTAAACTTTTGATGGGTAGTATATATTTGCACGAATTTACAACCCGAGGCCTCACAGCAGTACCCCTGCCATGCGACGACGGCCTGTGGTCAAACAAGTGAGTGAGTATTATTTTATGTCGCTTTAAGCAACAATATCACGACGGAGGTTTACCCCATCGCCGCTGTTATAAACCAGACCGATAGAAAAGTATAATACTTTATGGATAACAACTTCTTTATTTGTTATGATCGGTATAGCTTGTTATACCGTTGTCAAGCAAGAGTAAAGTAATACAGCACAGAACCGACTTATATACCGGTACATGTAACAAGGATTAAGTAAGACTACACAAGGGAGTGCATCAAAGGGATTAACAACAACAATGGGATAGGTAATAATACAATAACAATGGGAGGAAGCCAAGGTTGAGGAGGCGGAACAGGGTATACAAAGCAGATGAGGTAGGTAATAATACAATAACAATGGGAGGAAGCCAAGTTGGAGGAGGCGGAACAGGGTATACATAGCAGATGAGGTAGGTAATAATACAATAACAATGGGAGGAAGCCAAGGTTGAGGAGGCGGAACAGGGTATACATAGCAGATGAGGTAGGTAATAATACAATAACAATGGGAGGAAGCCAAGGTAGAGGAGGCGGAACAGGGTATACATAGCAGATGAGGTAGGTAATAATACAATAACAATGGGAGGAAGCCAAGGTTGAGGAGGCGGAACAGGGTATACATAGCAGATGAGGTAGGTAATAATACAATAACAATGGGAGGAAGCCAAGGTTGAGGAGGCGGAACAGGGTATACATAGCAGATGAGGTAGGTAATAATACAATAACAATGGGAGGAAGCCGAGTTGGAGGAGGCGGAACAGGGTATACAAAGCAGATGAGGTAGGTAATAATACAATAACAATGGGAGGAAGCCAAGGTTGAGGAGGCGGAACAGGGTATACAAAGCAGATGAGGTAGGTAATAATACAATAACAATGGGAGGAAGCCAAGTTGGAGGAGGCGGAACAGGGTATACATAGCAGATGAGGTAGGTAATAATACAATAACAATGGGAGGAAGCCAAGGTTGAGGAGGCGGAACAGGGTATACATAGCAGATGAGGTAGGTAATAATACAATAACAATGGGAGGAAGCCAAGGTAGAGGAGGCGGAACAGGGTATACATAGCAGATGAGGTAGGTAATAATACAATAACAATGGGAGGAAGCCAAGGTTGAGGAGGCGGAACAGGGTATACAAAGCAGATGAGGTAGGTAATAATACAATAACAATGAGAGGAAGCCAAGGTTGAGGAGGTGGAACAGGGTATACATAGCAGATGAGGCAATAATACAATATAATGGCTTCCTCCCTCACGTCGCATCATAACAAATAAAGAAGTTGTTATCCATAAAGTATGATACTTTTCTATTATCCATCAACTTCTAAAGTGCCAATCAAACAGATCATAAACCAGACCATCAAGTCTTCGAAGAACCCCAAATCCAGTTGAGTTCAGACATTCCTTTGCTTTCACAGGTAAAGAAAATTAATACATTTCGGAAATGTATTTGTTCTACATCAAAGTTTTGGGCAGGTTTAATGTCTCAAACCCATCAATCCAACTTTAGATTGTTGTAAGTCTACTGGGTTATACATGTGGCCATTTCTTTATTACTTTGGTATTTCGAAGGGTTTGCAGTTAGCCTAACGGTAAGGGACAATGGGAATTCAACACAATTGAAAACATTTCCATTTGGTGTAATTTAAGATTATTTCACACGGGCCTCGTGGTAACGAGCGACAGTTATTTGAAATGTCCTCAAATTTAAACTCACACTTCTAAGAAGAACATGTGAATCGTTATCGTGAACGCCAACAAATACACTTCCAGGTTCCCTTGAGCGCTACAGATAAAATAGCGGTTGATATGATATGTACGGACCGCTAAAGATAAAATAGCGGTGGATATGATATGTACGGACCGCTAAAGATAAAATAGCGGTTGATATCATATGTACGGACCGCTAAAGATAAAATAGCGGTTGATATCATATGTACGGACCGCTAAAGATGAAATAGCGGTTGATATCATATGTACGGACCGCTAAAGATAAAATAGCGGTTGATATGAAATGTACGGACCGCAAAAGATAAAATAGCGGTACATATGATATGGACGGATCGCTAATAAAGATAACATAGCGGTGGATATGATATGTACGGACTATTGAACATTGCTATGACCCCGGGTATTCGTCACAATGGCAAATATATTGATTTCTTCGTAAGAGTGGCAGCGCAACCTCGTCGTTGTGAGTGCTGGGTAACTAAGTAAGAAGCAACAACGTCTTATTTCTATTGACACTACGAAAGGCCTTTTTTATAATCAACAAAGACAACATAAAGTTTACTTTTCCTCTCGTTTTGCATCCCTTGTGATGAGAAAACCACGGTCAAGCATGTCCTGCTTGACTGTGTTGAATTCTCCATCATGAGGGATAAATATTTCAATATCAAAACTTTTTTAATAAAGTTAATTATCATTTAATCATTGATTTTTTAAAAGAGATAGATTTGTTAAATGAATTTTCATATATGTTTTGTAAATAGATAACGTTTTATAAGCGGTAGTTCAGATTATCAACTTAGATTGTTAGTGGCTCTATCCTCAAAGGGGGTTGAAGTATTGTAAAATTATTGTCCTCCTGAGAGGGTATGTAAGTCCCAAAACATTCAAAGCAATTCAAACTTACCAGGAATTTTAAACGTAGTATTCTTGTTATTTAATTTTGGCTAAAATTTCTTACAATCGCCAACAGCTGAAGGGATGGTGTAAATCCAACTAGGGTCCATGCAGGTAGCAAAGGTACTGTAAGTCCCCATGGTCCCTGGTATGGTGATCTACCTTCAGTTGTTGGCGATCTATAGCCTGTTTCTATATTATATTGTCCAAATAGTGCTATTAGTTTTAACTTTCCACACTAGTTTTAGTTGTAATTGTGATATTCTAGTTGTTTTACTGTCCTTCGTCGACAGGTTTTTATAATATACATATATTCCATTTCAATGTCACATATGTTCTAGTCACGATATGGCTGAAATATTGCCGATGTGACGTTAAATAATAACTCACTCACTCACTTTTCCGCTTGAGTAGATATTTTTACAATGTGCCCAAAGTAAAAAGATTATTAGCCGTAGAATATCTGTCTCTGAACCCAGCCTGAAACTGCGAAATAGGCGATTCATCATTAACCCGGTTCATTATT